ACGGAAATGCCCTAAGGCACGATCCCTGCAAGCCGGCCCGTACCACCTGACACTTGCAAAAACGACAGCACTCTAGCCCTCTACCGCGCTCCAACCGTAGCCCTCAGCCCCGAGTACCAAGCAGCACAGAACACAACCCAAACCCCCAAACCCCGAAAGCGAAAGTACTCAGAACTTAGGGCCACCAAGCACGTATGGACAGGCCAAGTACCAACTAGCAGCGAAGCACAAATCTAGGGAGCCCCCTTCAGCCACCCTTTGAGATTAGTCTGCCGCGACCCTACTCCTCTGTCCAACTCAGTAGTGCTCGATGTTGGCTCTTCAGTCCCCGACGGCCCCGACGCTCCCGCAGCCGACGAAGCAGCTCCAAGGTCCACGCCAGCAGCCTCGCCCGCCATCTCGTCAGCATCATCCGCCTGCGAGGAAGCGAGCTCCAGCGAGAAGGATGGAACAGACAAAGCTGAAGCCGACGCCAAGGGTGATGTAGGGTGCCCGGTGCATGAGGGTCAGCAGAGTGAAGAAGTCACCACGGAGGAGTTGCCGACTGCGGGGCTGGCATCCCGACCTGGAGCTGGATTGGAAGAGGGACACTCTGAAGGGGGAGAGGGTGATCGCGAAGGAGGGTGTGACCAACGAGGTGCAGAAGATGTGCTTGACCCCCTCACTGGTATCCCTCTCCGTTGGGCACAGTTCTGGAGAGCGACCAATGCTGACGGTAGTCTGGGCGTTGGCATCCCGGACCCGAACGAGGGGCATAGCATGCCGATTAGTGATGGCTGTGCCACCATGCCGGGCAATTACGTGGAGCCCGACGCCTCCGAGCTAATACTGACATCAGCCGCACCTTCCCCACCTTCTTCTCCCTTTCCATCATCAAGGCGACCCACCAGCAGTTCACCGCAGTTGCGCGCTGCCTCATTGGTGTCATGCTGGACTGCGGCCCACATCTCAAACACTTCACTTACCTCAACACCGAACCTCTCCGCAATCACATCCGTCGTGGTGAGCCCTTCACAGAAGAGGTGCAACCAGTGTCTGACTTCATCCGTGTTCATGATGTCGATCATGTCCTGCCCCAGCCCCGGCAGGCATTCCGGGTCAAACTTGGCGAGGTGCGGCGCAGCGTGTGCCGCTGTTGCTTGGGGACCATGCTCAACTCCTGCCCCTCCTTCAACACCACCCAGGATGGTTTCTTCGACCCTAAAGGAGACGACCGGGAATTGGTCCGCCTCCATGGTGCCCACAACCTCCGCTCCTCCAAGCTTACTGCCTGATGCGCTTCCCACTGTCAGGACCACCCGGATTCGCTTCCTACTCGGTAGGGGTTGCCCCCGGTCCAACTCCGAGCGCATGGCCCAGTCATCCCAGCTCTGCTGCATCGAAGCCTCGACCATCTGATAGTTCTCCTCATCCCTAGACGTCTGCATAGCCTGCTCCATTGCCACTGCCTCGTCATGCGCTCTAAACTCCGCAGCCTCTTGTGCCGTGGCAGGCTCCCAATCTCCACCCTCCATTCTGCGGACTCGATATTCCGGTAGCTCCGCATCGTCCCGAATCGAATCATTCACCACGAAGACATCTGTCGAGCTAGCAGCTCCCGTACAGCCAGGCGTTGCTGCGGCAGTAGGCGGCGGTGCTCTCCCTGCACCTCCTCCCAGGTATGTCACCAGGATCTGCAGTTGCTTCTCACACCAGATTTGAAGCTCCAGCGGTGTGTCCACGGTCTCGGTGTGGTAGCAGGCAATGAGTGCTTCAAGTCGGTCGAAACGGTCTTTTGCTGTTTCGTCAGGTCCCCTGCAAGGCGGCGCAGTCTCTCCGTCATGATCTTCAGGTGCGATGCTGCTTGGGCGCTGCGGCTGTCGTCCATCCCGTTCAGGTGTGCTTGCAGCATGGAAAGTTTGGCGCCAAAAAGGCACCGCGCTTCGTGGTCAATCTGCATGACCGAGAAGTCATCCCCCTGACGGTCCGTGTTCCTCACCGCCATCCCCATCTGCACCAGCACTGCCTGGTCGTCATCCTCAACGGGAACTTCCACGACCTCATCCGGGTTACCAGCCACAGCCTCGTTGATGGCCCTCAACAACTCAGCCATGAACGCCCCCAAGAACGGGATCAGCTCCGAGAGCATGTACTTGCGGTGCTCGACACTCATCGGCCTGATGTTGGAGATGATGGTGTCCACCGTCTCGTTGCTGAGCACGGTCTGGCAGTTCTCCATAGGGTCATTCAACCCTACAAGTTCACTCCACCATAGGACGTTGTCGCCCATGGCCTGCCCTGGCCGCGGGCTTCGCGCCGCAGTGCTTGCCGTGCTAGCACTTGCCGGCGGGCCAGACGACGGTCGCGCCCTCCGGTCCTCTGCAGTGCGGTCACTTGCCCGGCGATCACCCCGCCATGGCACCTTCAGCGGCCTGTGCGACTCCGTAGTGATAGTTGGTCTCGTTCTGCTCGGGTTAACAGTCCAACTGTGCCGACGCTGCTGTCCTTTCTTGGTTCCTTATTTCCCTCTGCCAGCGTCTTCTCCTTGGAGTCGGTGACCGGCCTCGCTTGCGTTGCATTAGGCTGACCGTGTCCTGCAGCTCTTCCATCCCACTGCCACGGCCCTTCGCCATGTCTTCTCGATTTTCGCCCTCAACAGCCACATTGTGTCCTGGAACTGGTGGGGTGACCACAGCCGCGGATGGAACCCTCACAACCATGCCATTCACATTCGTCTCAAGGAACTCGCTCACACTCGTGCCAGAACCCTCAATCACCCCCTTCTCACCCTCATTGCCCAGTCGTCCTTGCCAGTTATGTCCGACTAGCCCCACAAAGACCAGGACCCTATCCTCGTCCACCTGGGCCACTGAGTCTTCAGCCTGAAGTGCTGCAACGCCAACCATGGATGGAATCCTCAAAACCATGTCCTTCACATCCGTGTTAAGGTACTCCCTCACAATCATGCCATAACCCTCAGGCACCCCCTGCTCGCTCTGGTTGTCCGGTTGTCCTTGCCAGTCCGCAGCCTGGCGTGCTGCAGTGCCAGCCGCGAATGGAATCCTCGAAACCATGTCATTCACTTCCGTCTTAAGGTACTCCCTCACACTCATGCCAGAACCCTCAAGCACCCCCTGCTCACCCTGGTTGTCCAGTTGTCCTTGCCGGTCATGTCTGACCAACCTGATGTAGAGTAGGACCCCATCCTCGCCGACCTGGGGCACCAAGCCCTTAGCCTGGAGTGCCGCAATGCCTTCAAGCGCGTCACAGTCAACACAGATGTCGTCAGTCCCCTTCCAGCTCATAGCCGCTTCTCGTCCTTGCCGCTTGCTCAGGACACCTAAGTCTGTGCATACGCTCCTTAGCCGAGGTCGCGCCACCAGGATGTCGCGTGCACGGTCCTTGCGTGATTCTCGAGCCCCTTACACTTAGCCACCTTGCCATCACACCCTCGCCGACCAATGCAGACACCGAAATCCATGCAGGCGGTCATCAGCTCAAGCCAGGGCATCCTATTCATCTGAGGTGTCACACCATGACTGCGCTCCCCCTTGAGCTCCACGACGCCACTGGGCACACTCCGAGGGCATCGACCCCGTCCAAGCGCAAGGCCCTTCGCCAAGTCACCATCTCGATCTCCATCTCTTCCACAGTCACGTTCTCCTGCCTCAGGGCAATCCCTTCCGTGGTCCTCATCATTGTCACGGGTTCCCCTGCTCGGTGCTTGTCCTTGGCCTCCTGCTCTCAGTATCAGGTGCGCCCGAAAGGGCGGCTGCCGGACCTTCACAGCCTGAGGCTCCGCGATCACCATCCAATCAGGGCCGTTGTGCTGTACGTGTAGTTCACTAAGGAGCCCCCGCTCATCACGAGAGAGGCCAAGTAGCGAAATGGTCATCCCTTTGGGATCCACGATGTTCTCATTCAACTCAAAGCCTCGGGCCGCGCCGACCACGAGGAGCAACACATGTAGGTACTTGTAGAACGTACCGCCAGCCATGGCTGGGATCCCGAACTACGTGTCAGGCAGTGCTGTCACAGCAAAGCAAAAGCTGAGCCAGTCATTAGCACAGATGCCCTCACATTGTCAGGGATGGCTGCCTACCCGACGACCACGCAACTTGTTCCTGTTCTATCCATTGTTTCTCAAACCCTTTCCATTGTGTCCTATTGCACGCAGCCACTCTCCACGCCGAGCTCCCTATGACCCTTGCGATCCGCCCTTCTGTGTTCATTAAGAACGGGAAATGTCGGTGATGCCGTTTGCCCGCTTGAAGATTTTGCTGTTGATTCCACCACACTAGATCACGAAATGCTGACATCGCTCCTGCCACCGATGCACGATCCTGCTGGCTTTCCCTGACCAAGTGACCGGTGTATTGCCAAAACGCAGCGAGGTGCTTGTCGCCCCACCTGATTTTCATCAGCTGGAAGACCTTTGCCCTGGCTATCCTGAGGCTTCGCGTTTGAAACTCAAGCCACCCTTCTCCCCGGCCTCTTTTCACCCCCAGCATGCGTCTAATGCAGTTGTATTGGAAGCTGTTGAGGAGTTGCTGCGCCTGTGCCGTCGGCACCAATGCCCCAAGACACCACCTGATGGACCCGAAGACGACTGCTTCCAAGACCTTGCATCTTGCCGAGAGCGGAGCATTTGAACACAGGATATGCGCAATCCCATAGAACTTCCCTCTGGCCCTATCTACCATCGCCTCCAGCATCCTTTGCTCAGTAGCCTCGATTCCCAGGGGTAAGTTCATGATCATGAGCACCTCTCCCTGGGGAAGTGGGTAGAGCTCCCTTCCTTGGATGTGCAGCGGTTTCTCCCTGGATCCCCTCAGGCACAGTCGCTTACACTTTTCCGGTTGCACAAACAGCCCGAATTCTGCAAGGAGAGGGAGCAGTTTGTTCACTTAGCGCTGCAAGCCCTCCGGCGACCGTTTCCAGGTTAACACATCGTCCATGAAGACTGTGCTGTCATGTGGTAAATCATGCAGGACCATCTCATCATCCGCAAGCCTAACATCAGACATGAGGTCATCCAGCAGCCGCGCAAAGAGCAACGGACTTTCAGTGGCTCCTTGCTTAACGCCTACGTTCGACTCAATTGCAGTCTGATTCCAGGGAAGATGCAGAACCAGGTCCGTACTCGCCAGTAACCGGATGAGGCTTCTAGTCTCGTAAGGCTTTGCTTCGCCCGCCCAACAGCAAATCTTGTTAGCCAATTTCACTCTACATACCGAGTCGAATGCACGTTGCAAATCCAGCTTCAGCATGTAGCAGTCCGATTGCCACTCTCGACAGAGATGAGTAAGACGAACCGACAACCAGACAAAATCAGCTGCTTGACGATGCTTGCCCGCCAACTGGTGCTCACCCTGAGGTCTAAGCTCTGGCGCAAGTCTCTGCACAATCAACCGCGCATACGTTTTGGAAACATGAGAGGCCAGTGCAATAGGCCGCAATTGCTTGGGGCAGGAAGGCGGTTGCACCTTAGGCAACAAAGTGACCACCGAACGGTCCCATTCCGTTGGGATATCCCCAGTTTTTAGCAACTGGTTGAAATATTCCACGAAGGCATTGACCGAGGTCTCACATTGCATCATAGCCTTAAGAAGCTCAGTAGGGATACAGTCAGGCCCCGTAGCTTTCCCCGACTTGCCACCCATGACCGCATCCACAACCTCCTTGGTTGTGAAATCCCTCATCCCCTGATCAAAGTTCAGGCCCGAGCTAACCTCACCAAGCTTGGCATGGATGTCACCCGTCCCCTCATCATGGAAGACCCTCCGAAAATGTTCTTCAGGGTTTAGGCTTCAGGGTTTGAGGTTGAGGATTTAGGGTTTAGGGTATTACAAGAACCCTGCCTCTAGGGGCCTAGATCAATGATTAGCATAAAGGGTCCCTGTAAACGAGATACAAAATAAATAGCTCAGGTTTAGGGTTTATGGGTCTAATTAAAGGATCGGAGAACGCCACATGTCTCGGTTAACCCTAACCAGGCCTTAGCATACGGGAGAAACACAACATAACTATCAAGACCTTTTCAGTCCCTCTGATTGTGGCTATGGAGCCCCTGATAGTGTGTACGAAGGCCAAGCAGAGGGTAGTGGGTCTAGCAGGAATTGTTTAGAGCCTGTGTGGGAGTTCTCAAGATAGGGGTCCCTAGAAAAAACCTCGGGGACACATGGGGGTTCTTAGAGGATGAAGGGGGTCCTTTTTTGGGGGGTTAGATATGGGGATCATTTTCATGAACTCCCGCGTGAAAAAAATGTGGTGCGTCACCCGATGCAAAGAAATTCGAAATGCAGGGATGCCCACACGCCAAAAGCACCATGTCGTTGCCACATCCAACATTTTGCGGGATGCAGGTCTAGTAGTGTTTCTCTTTGCGCTATGATTCTGGGTGTGCGTTGGGATAATGATAGCGCAAGCCATGCTTTCTGACCTGCCTTTGACAAGGAGAATGTTTCGTCCATGCTGCAGGTATGTCTTGGTGTAGACTACTTTGAAGTGAGGGTCCCCCTCGACAACGGACCACGATGACAACAACTACTTGGTTTAGGATTCAGGGCTCAAATCAAAGTGCACACGTAGCCTTAAGCCCCAAAGCCTAAACACTAAGGCAGCAGGCCTCGTGAAGGTGCTTTGGCCGCTCGTTCTCCTGCCCACACATTTTCTGTGCACAGATACTTCTCGAATTTTAGCTCCTCTTACCTACCCTCCCATCATTAGGCCCCTGTGATAGCGGCATCCAAAAGAGCATCTGATTTCCATAAACTTCCACCCCACGAGTCGCGAAAGCTTGAAAGTTTGGCAATGAGGCCCCCCTGCTAATTAATGAACCTGCAACCCCCCTAACAAAAAACATTCCCTCGAATATGTAACGGGGACTATATCGTGGAAGTTCATTATTCAGAGGGAGGGAGGAGAGATGCTTTAACAGATGCTGGCAAATTCCCCTCCCCACCCGTAAAAGGCCTCCCCCCGCCATGTACCAAGACCCCGTCAGTACCCTTTATAGGGGCGATAGGGCCCTTAATTGGCGGGTACTTAGGCCCGAATAAAAGAAGGCATTGAACCTCGCTACCAGCTCAACTTACTACCACCTGAGTGCTGGCAATTATCCCTATAACCCCTGTGTCATCCCAGTGCTGATTTTCATTTTTCACGTGATTCTCAAGTCTTGGGCGGAAACAACCCTACACACCCTCATCCCTGGCAACTTATTAATCCCCTCCCCCTAGTCGTAAACCACCCCTCCTCAATAAATTCTCCCATTATGTTGTATATTATAAATATGTTGGGAATATACATATATACATACATACACATTATATTTAATGTTGGGTGGTGGGGGGGGCTTAATAATATGGGGAGGATTAGCCCCCAAGATGAACCTGCAAACGCCTATCCCAGTGCAGCCTGCCTCCGTTTTGCTTTTGCTAAGCGCAGCGTCCTCTGCATGTCGGAAATTTCCCAAGACAGCGCTATCTCCTAGAGAGCCTGGGGATATACGGGACTTAAATTAAATACTGATTCCCCAGTGACCCCTCTGTAATAAGGGTACCCCTTTTCCTGATATTCAGCTTTAATAAGGAGACCTCCAATTAAACAGGGAAAAAGGGTACTACTGGGGCACCTAGAATATGGGCACCCTACAAAGGCAAATATAGCGATCATGCTGAACAAATCATGTTAGGAGCATAAAGCTTCAGAGGACAAACCAGCTGCTAGCCAAAAAACTCTGGCATCTTGCATATGGGGCACATGCTGTCTGTATCAACTCAGCACTCGAAACAATGCAGCGCTTTAGAAATCATACCAGCCATGGTTGTCGGTCAGAACTTCCATGCACAAACTGCAGGAACCGCGTTGAGGATCCCAGTGGGCAAAAGAGCACTGATCTAAGGTTAAAAGGCCATTGGCCCCTAGTGTGGGCCCTTAAACTTGGGATCCTGATATAGCCCCCCTTAGGTAGATGGAATGTGGGGGTATATGGGGATCTTATTATAATCTACCCAAAGCCGTATTCTATCTACTTAAGGGGACTTATATACCTACTATATTAGGGGCCCATACTTCTAATCTTATTTTGGAACTAGCATGCAACAAGCGTGTATGATCATGACATTGACTGGAGGGTTGTGTCTAAAGGGCCTCGCAAAAGATGCACCATTAGGAATACGCTCCCTGAAGTCTTGAAGAACTACCTTACGCCCTACACCCTGCACCCTGACCGAAATAATGTCAGTTATGTGGAAAGTCCCATTTGGGGTTTAGGAAACCCTGCGAAAACCTGTAGATCACTATAAGCCCGTTTGC